ACAGGGATATTATCTGGATCCAATGAGAGAACATAGAAGCAATGTAAGTACCATGAAACACCAAACAAATATAAGGTGCTATTATTTTAGATTGAAGCAGAAAGTACCTCAGGTGAGGAAATTTGAGTCATGGGAGAAGCTAGTATTACCTTGTACTACCAGGTTTTATAGTTTTCAAGCATCACATCTCTATCTGTATGTCTGAGCAAGGTTCATTTGTTGCTGCTTCTTCTGGGTGAAGTCTACAATCATGTGGAATATTATCAGTTCCTGAAAATCAAAGATATGGCACCACTAGGATGAAGAATGAAGTAGCCAGAAGTGAGATAGGACCAAACTGAAATAACACTGAGAGTGTTCAGAGCTGTAAGGCCAAATAAAAGACTGCCCCAGAATGCTAACTATGTGGTAAGCCTAAAGAGTCAAGATGGGAGCAGGAGGAGGAGGCCCCCAAAAGGGTTGTCAGCAAGGAAAAACAGTTGAACTGATAGTCTGATGTGTTTGACCATACTGAGGTTTTCACGGATCTGCCGGTGACTTGAGGAATTGGTACATAGAAAACTAAGCAGGAAAAAGGGGCAATAACTACCTTTAGGAAAAACAAAAATCTGTACAAAAAAGGAAAATTAATCATAGTGTACTATGTGGCTCAGCTGTGAACAATATTTAGGAAGTCCTAGTTACCAAAACTGACTTCACCCAGCCTTGTGATATCAGTTTATTAGAAAGATTGGGGAGAAGATACGTATGGGAAGGTTGAGAGAGGTAAAAATGCTTATCCTCCATAGCAAAAGCCAATATATAATTACCTAAAAATGAAAAATCAAGAATAAACAGCACTGTAGAAACATTCTTCTTAGAAACATTCAGGGTAACACCAAAATAGCCAAAAGACTTAATAATAGTTCCCTTTGGACAGCAGGTCATGGACGTAGGGATAACTGTTTTTCCTTATAAACCTAATAGTACTGTTTGGCTTTTAAAAATATGCATAGATAGTATTTTTTTAAATAAAAAAAAAAACCCTGGGCGCCTGGGTGGCTCAGTTGGTTAAGCGACTGCCTTCGGCTCAGGTCATGATCCTGGAGTCCCAGGATCGAGTCCCGCATCGGGCTCCTTGCTCTGCGAGGAGTCTGCTTCTCCCTCTGACCCTCCCCCCGTCATGCTCTCTCTCTCTCTCATTCTCTCTCTCTCAAATAAATAAATAAAATCTTTAAAAAATAAATAAAAATTTAAAAAACCCTATTTTTGTAAATGTTTCATGGACAATTATGGAGAGATTTATTATTATTAATTGCCTACATAATTATTCACACTACCTCCTTGCCCAACAATCTCCCAATACACTTTTTTAAATCATTAGGAAATATTCAAGACATTCAAAATATTACAAATGTTAACATAAAGAATACACACGTAACCACCACCTAGCTGAGGAAATCAGCATTAACAGTACAAATGAAGTCCCTTCTTCCTTCTCTTCAGAAGTTATCCTGACTATACCCAAACAGCTAAACTTTCTGATTTAAAACTAGTTATCCATTCCCTCTCTTTATTTTACTAAGGTTAGTCATCTGATGTGATTTCTCAAGTATCTGCTTAAGGGTTTGCTAAAGGTTCTTTTTTTTTTTAAGATTTTATTTATTTATTTGAGAGAGAGAATGAGAGAGAGAGAGCACATGAGAGGGGGGAGGGTCAGAGGGAGAAGCAGACCCCCTGCTGAGCAAGGAGCCCAATATGGGACTGGATCCCGGGACTCCAGGATCATGACCTGAGCCGAAGGCAGTCGCTTAACCAACTGAGCCACCCAGGCGCCCTGCTAAAGGTTCTTAAAAGCGTTTTCTCTGCTGGTAGATGTGGTATCTAGATTCTTCCCATCAAAAAGCCAAATCTCCTGATTTCCCTTATCTATCAATGGTACAACCCTCAGGCTTGAAGTATAGCCATTGCCCTTGACTTCTGTCTCTTTGACACCCCCGCTCCGCCTTGGCCAGTTCTGTCCTTACATGGGATGAGGTGAGGGAAAGATGGTCTAGGACAAGGGAAGGAAGTTTGTTCCCACCACACAAGTCCAGGAGGAGAAGCTCAACCTCGGGGTGCCTGGGTGGCTCAGTCGTTAGGTGTTTGCCTTCAGCTCAGGTCATGACATCAGAGTCCTGGGATCGAGTCCTGCATTGGGCTCCCTGCTCAGCGGGGGACCTGCTTCTCCCTCTCCCACTCCCCCTGCTTGTTTTCCCTCTCTTGCTGTCTCTCTCTCAAATAAATAAATAAAATCTTTTTTTTTTTTAAAGATTTTATTTATTTATTTGACAGAGAGAGACACAGCGAGAAGGAACACAAGCAGTGGGAGTGGGAGGAGAAACAGGCTTTAGGCTTCCTGCGGAGCAGGGAGCCCGATGTGGGGCTCGATCCCATGACCCTGGGATCATGACCTGAGCTGAAGGCAGACGCTTAACGACTGAGCCACCCAGGCGCCCCAATAAATAAAATCTTTAAAAAAAAAAAAAGCTCAACTTCACCTGGGTCTCTGCCGGTGAGAGAATGGTAGCCGCTCCCTGCTCCATACCCTACCTTGTTTTCTTTGCCTGTTTTAAAATGTAGGTTTTATTTATTGTTTAGGTATGGTGACATCAAGAGATGATTGCCACTGAAAAGAGCTTGTTACGCACTGTTCCTGAGGTGCACACATGCCATGCCCGGCCAGGCAGCGCCACATGGGGGAAGCACCAGGGTTGGTCAGGAGGCTAAAGAGGTGGGAGGAAAATGTGGGCAAAAGCCTTTATTGTGGTTTCTATATGGAAAAGAACAGACGAAGGAGGGTAGGCAGGTTTAGAATTGGCCAGTTTGAATTATTTCAGTGGGGGCGTGTAGGGACCTGGGGTGATTAGGACAGGGGAATAGCAGAGAGTAGCAGCCAGAGGGGAGGTGGGGAAGGGCGCTGGGGGCCCTGGGCTGGTTAGTTTGCATATGAAAGCTATGCTGGGGGCCCGGCAAATTGTTGGCTATCTTTAGGACTCCGCTAATCCTGTGAAGGGACAATCCCACTCCCGCCTGTGAGGTTCCAAATATTAGAGCGTCAAGGAAGAAGAAGAATATGGTTAATACAGCCTTTAGTCTTCCTCACCCACGAGCTCTCAGCTCATGTGGCACTTCTTCAAGGGAGCTTTCTGGGACTCCCAGACTAGGTCATTTTTCTCTCACAGCTCCTTCACAATTTGTAGCTTCTGTGATTAATTGGTTAAAGTCTGTCTTCCTAACCAAACTTCTTAACCAAATCCAACATGAGGGCAGGTAATTTCTTTTTTGTCCACCTTTATACCCATAGCTACAAAACGGTGCTTGGCACACAGTAGATGTTCAAGAAATACCTATCGAATAAATAAGTGATTGCATGTCTCTGAGCCTTAGTGATTGGCACACCAAAATGAAAAACTACAGGAATTTCACTCATACCTACAAGTTAAATCCCTGAGACCAGCAGCTTAGAAACTATTTTCCAAGGAAATCATGCTTGGCATTTAGGGTGCTAGGTCAAACTTAAATTAGCTTATGCAATGAATAACATCCGTGATGTGTCTGACTCAGAAACCATCGTTAACAGGGTCGGAAATACGTATTCTGAGTTCTGGACGTGAGAAGCCAGCACTTATCAGTGTAGTCAGCTCCTGCGGCTGCATTCGAAAATTAGCAAGGATCTGGAGTGAGGCTCCATCCCGTGCGGAGGGAGAGGGTACCAAGCAATTCCATTTGCTCTCAGTTTGCTTTTCCACGGAGATGTCTGTCCATACTCCGCTACTGTAGACATGAGAATAAATCCCAATGATGAACTTTCTCCTAAGACGTTTTGAAACGTGCAGAGATCATCTTAGGACGAGAAATTTCTGTCCAGCCCATGCAGAGGTCAGTTTCGTTTACAAAGAGAGGACTGCCTGAATGCCCAACGCTTACTTGGCTCTGAGCTGAATCACTGCAGCTTGTGATCCAAGCGAGGAGAACGTGAGCAGGGAGGTGATGTGGGGCGGTCGGAAGAACGATCCATCAGCGGAGACTCGCGGCCCCAGGAGCGCTACTTGTTCCCCGAACACAGGGCGGTCATTTAGCCGCAGTGTTTCCTCCTCATTTCCACCTACCGCACAAATCTGCTGAGAAATTTAAAACACGGAGAAGCGCGGAGAGCAAGACGCGCAGATCGTACCTAATCTCTGCTACACGGGCGCGAAGACACGCCGACGAGCGGTAGGGCACGGACCCGGTCGCCGGAGCCCCGACGAGGACGTCCGCGACGCCGCCCGTGTCTGGGGCAGGAGGCGCGTGCGGCCGGCCAGTAGCCCCATCAGGCCGCGGGGCCGGCGCCGGCGTCTGCCGTCTGCGGCCGGGAGCCCATTCTCCCGTGCGTCCCTTCGGCCAAGTGGCCGGGGCCCCGATGCGCGTCCTGTCCCGGCCCGAGCCACGGGGGCAGCGCGAGCGTCCGCGCCCCGCACCCACAGGCCGTGGGGGCCCGCGCGGCGGCGGACGGAGACAAGAAGGGGCGCGGGGCCCGGGCGCGCGGCACGTCACTGCCGACGGAGCGGGGCAGCGCTCTCCTCCGAGACGCCCGGGAGGCTGGCGTCGTCGCGTCCCGAGCCGTCCTTCTGTTCCCCACGGCGCCTCTGCGGCTCTGAGACAAGCCCCGCCGCCCCCATCCCTTCGACGCGGACGAGTTTGCGGCCTCACCTCAACGCGACCACAGGCGGCTTCGACCTCAGCGGCTGGGACGCGCTGCCTCGTGCGGGTCGTCGGCCGCCATCCCAGGCTGGAGCGCGGCCGTGCCGGCGGCCCCCGCGCTCCGAGCGACGCGCGCCCTCGCGGCCGGCTCCGGGCCCACGGCTGGCAACTACGCTTCCCAGGAGGCCCCGCGGCGCCCCCGCTCCCAGACTCCATCTCCCAGGAGTCTTAGCGACGAGCCCCGCCCGCGCCGGAAGCCCTGTGTGACGTCACCGCCGCAGCCGCTGCGGGCGTGGGTGGGCGGCAGCGCGCCGGGCGCTGGGGCGTGCCGGGGGGCCGCGTCTGGGGCGGGGGCGGCCGTGGCTGAGCTGCTGCCTTCTCCAAGGAGCTGAGGAGTCGGGGTGAAGCCTCCGCCCCTGTTCGTCCCCTGCCTGCCGTCTGCTGATGCGCATCTCCCACGTGTGCACGGGGGGCCGCGCCGACCGAGGGGGCCGCCGCCCTCCCCACGGCCCCCCGAGAAGCGCGAGGACCGAGAAGCGGAAAGTGCTTCTCCCGTCGGGCGATGTAGTGAATGTGCCCTCAGCCTCTTTCCCCCATACCTGTTTGTATCTGCATGGGCCAGGTATGGGGAGAGAGGTGTGTGTGTTTATACGTCACAAATTACAGCAGGTGCGTAACAGTGTTTGCATCTTCGGCTCCCCTGTTCGACCTTCGCACTGTAAGTTTCAGCGGTACTACTAACTAGTCCCGTCCCTGTATCAGCTTTCCTCTGCAGGCTTTCTAAACACCAGTGGTGTTATTTTGTATCCTTAGCAAATGCTTCGGTCACTTATTATCAAAGCAACTTTATAAAGTTAGTTTTACTAGTTGTGATGATGGCATTATGGTTATGTTTTAAAAGAAAAAGTCCTTTATGGGTTAGGAGATGCAACTCATATAATATCTGGGTCTTATTGAAAAATACTCCAGGAATAAATAAAAGTGGGGAATGAGGGGGCGATCACTAAACAAGATTGGCAAAATATTGATCAGTGTTGAAGCTGAGTGAGGGATACAGTGGAGTTCACTATACTATCCTGTGTCTGATTGAAATTTTCTGTAATTTTTATGTGTACCAGCATTCCTCATGGAACAGTGAGGTCCACTAATTCCTTCCTGGCTCATGTTCAAGTGATCCCTTCACCACTGCCCAAATGAAGAATTTTTCCTTCCAGTCATCTCCGTGATGCTAGTGATTCCTTTTCCTGGGACCCATCTTGTTACTAGATTTTCCACAGTACCTCTGAGGCTAAAGTAAATCTCTGCTTTTCCCAGAACATGCCTTTTATCTTCATGCTCCCCCATTCTCTCTCTCCTCCTGGTCTCAGACATAGGTGAACTTGGCATCTGGCTTATAGCCTTCTGCTCTATATCTTGGTCTCATTTCATTCTCAGTGACATCAGTGTGGCTCACAGGGTAAATGCTCGGTAAATATTTGTTGAATCTCCATGTCCACATGGATGAATCATCCAGCAAACATTCTGCCTTTTCTCTGGAACCCAGGGGTCTTGGCAGGCAGGAATCCCCATGCCTTTGGCCAGTGTAGCATCTGCACCTTGTGCTTTTCCTCTCCCACCAGTGAATCTAATCCTTCCCTTTTTAATTCTTGTTCCAAAGTTTTCCTCCTCCTCTGCTTTTAAAAGGTGCCTGCCGTCTGCTCCCCACCCACCAGCTTCTGTCCTCCACACTTTGCACACCCACCACTTAGCTCCTCTCCATCCCAGCTTCGTTGGAGATCCAATCCTTTATGTCTCCTTTATGACTTTGCTCTCACACTCTTCAGTTTTCAGTCTTCTTCTGGTGACTCATTTCATTATCACTTTAAACAAGTCTAATAGATCTCTTCTATTTAAAAACATCTTCATGGGCGCCTGGGTGGCTCAGATGGTTAAGCGTCTGCCTTCAGCTCAGGTCATGATCCCAGGGTCCTGGGATCGAGTCCCACATCGGGCTCCCTGCTCCTTGGGGGCCTGCTTCTCCCTCTGCCTCTCTCTCTCTCTCTGTCTCTCATGAATAAATAAATAAAATCTTTAAAAAAATAAATAAATAAATAAAAATAAAAACATCTTCATTAAACCCACATGCTACTCTAGCCACCAAGCTAGTTCTCTCCTAATATTGCCAGATTTCTGTCCCTTTAGACTACTTGTTTCTTCAGCTCTACACCCTACCATCATCCGCGTGTTCCCAGCCCCTGAAATTTGACCTGTCCCCTTGAAGCTCAGCTACATCTGCTCACAGGGAAAGGAGAATTAAAACTACATGGGGCTATCATTTTCACCAATCAGACGCAAAAATTCCCAGGTTTGACAGCATAGTTGTTGTCAGGGCTGTGGGGAAGAGTCAGTCTCAGAGGTCGCCGGTAGGAGGAGCAACCCCATGAAGGGGAGTGTGGCAATATCTGGCAGTTGCATATATCTGCACATATTTAAAATGACATATATACAAGGTGATTCACTGAATAGTTTGTAATAGCAAAAAAAATTGATAAGAAGCTAAATGTCCTCCATCTATGGAATTGGTCGAATAAATTCTGCCTGTCCATACAATGAAATACTGTGCGTCTTGTGATGGTTAATTTTATGTGTCAACTTGGCTAGGCTATGTGCTGAGTTATTTGGCCAAACCCTAGGTGTTTCTGTGACGGTATTTTGTAGATGTGATTACTGAGTAAAGTTGATAACCCTCCGTAACGTGGGTGGGCCTCATTCAATCAGTAGTAGGCCTTAAGACAAAAACTGAGGTTTCCCAGAGCAGAAGGAATTCTGCCTCAAGACCGTAACACGGAAAACTTGCCCGAGTTTCCAGCCTGCTGGCCTGCCCTAGGGATTTTGGACTTGTCAGCTCCCGTGATTGCATGAGCCAGTTTTTAAAAATAAATCTTTATCTTTCTGTATCTAAATCTGTATGTTGTCTATATGGATTCTGTTTCTCTGAAGAGAATGACACAACACTACAAAAAAAAATCTCCAGAATATATTTTTGAGTGAAAAAAAGCCAGGTGAATAACATTCTGTGTGCCATATCCAGTGTTAAAGAAGAATTAAAACAAGAATATGAATTTATGTTTGCTTTTATCTGCACCAGAATCCTAGAAGGGTACACAAATTAAAGTGGTTACTTGAAAGGGACTTCTAGACAGATGCAGGACAGAGGTAGGAGTGACAAGTTTAATGTCTTTTTTTATACTTTCGTGATTTTTGAGCCATGTGACTATTTTTACCTATTAAAAAACTTGCATTTTCTGTGGATTTCAGGAGCTCCTACTTGCCACACACAGTCTTGCCTTGGAATTTCCTCATCTCACTTCTCAGAGCTTTGACCCTCCTAGTACTCTGACTTGCTTTGTCTCTTTCTCTGACTCTTCTGCTTCTTGACTTTGGACATTCTCCAAAGTTCTGTGTTTAGCATCTTTCCTCTGGCTCTCTGCAGCCTAAACCATTAACTCTGAGGTCCCGGTCTGCAGCTCCCCACACAGCCTTCCTCGTGAGCTTACGGCCTACGTTTCCACCTGTTTCCTAGGTGTCTGCAGACCACTATTCTGTTGGCGCCACAAACTAATGTGTGTGAAAAGGAACCCATCATCTTCAACCCCGCTTGTTAGACTGGCTGCCATGTCGAGTGGTATCCCCAACCCTTCAGAGGGCATTTTGGTGGTCACAGTGACTGGGGAGTGTTACTTGCATTTAGCGGGCAGGAGTCGGTGATGATAAACATCCTAAAATGCTTGTGGCAATCTGGCACAGCGGGAACTGTCCCCCTCAAATGCCAGTAGGGTGACGACCTCACCTGCCAACCCATTGTCTGGGTTCAAACTATGGTGTCATCCGCAGCTCTTCTCTTTTCCTTACTCCTACACTTACCCCATCACCCAGCCCTGTTGATCCCCCTTTTGCTGCAGTTTCTGGCTTAGTTCACATATGAGCTCTCAGCTACAACTTTGCGAAGGCTTCCTAAACTGGTCTCTGCCTCCGCACTTCCATTTCCTGCTCTTCACATTTGCTGTCAGTTATCTTCCCCCAGAACATAGCTGATCGTGGTACTCTTGAGTAAGCATACACCTGAGACTGAAAGCCCACTTTGCCCGCTTTCTCTCCACTCCTGACCTGTGTGGGGCAAAGCATTCCTTTCCACCTCCTCTGTGCTCCTAGGACAAAGGTGCTACTCAGGAGCTCCTAGATTCCCATGCGAAAAAAATCACCCTTCTGGGGCGCCTGGGTGGCTCAGTCATTAAGCGTCTGCCTTTGGCTCAGGTCATGATCCCGGGGTCCTGGGATCGAGTCCTGCATTGGGCTCCCTCCTCAGTGGGGAGCCTGCTTCTCCTTCTCCCTGTGCGCCTCCCCCCCCGCCCCCCGCCGGCTCGTGCTCTCTCTTGCAAATAAATAAAATTTTTAAAAAAATTATGGATCTTGAGATGGGGAGATGATCCTGAGTATGAGGGTGGACCTCATAAGAGGGAGGCAAAGGAAGAGGAGGAGGCAGTGGGGACCGAGACTGGAGTGATACCACCATCTCTAAGAGGCAAGGAATGATTTCTCCCTTGGAGCTTCCAGAAGGAGTGTGGCCCTGGCAATACTTTGATTTTGGCCCAGTGACACTGATTTCAGACTTCTGGACGCCAGGAACGTGAGAAGAAATGTGTTGTTTAAAGCCTTCAAGCTGGGCGCCTGGGTGGCTCAGTTGGTTAAGCGACTGCCTTCCGCTCAGGTCATGATCCTGGAGTCCCGGGATCGAGTCCCGCATCGGGCTCCCTGCTCAGCGGGGAGTCTGCTTCTTCCTCTGACCCTCTTCCCTCTCATGCTCTCTCTCAAATAAATAAATAAAATCTTTTAAAAAAAAAAAAAATAAAGCCTTCAAGCTTGTGGTACTTCATGCCAGTGGCCGTGGGAAGCAAACGCACTCTTCTGCCATTGCCCTTTCAGGCTCGGGGGTGTGGGATGGCTCGGTGCCAGCTGGCCTTGCTTGGTTCCCCGTCTTGGGGGAATTTTCTTCCATTAAACTGCTTGAGGGGGCCATCAGTTTCTCTCTGGGACTCTGTGGCAAAGAAAGTAAGGGAGCAGCCAAGAAGAGGCCCCCAAAAATCTCTTCCGTTACCAAGAGACCCACGTTTGTTTCTGGATCTTCTTGGGCAGTGATGGGGCCATCAGCCCTCGGAGCTGTGAGTCCAGGTTTCGCTGGCCCTAGGCTCTTCTGCTCCGAACTGCCCTTCTCGGAGGTCTCGGTAACGATACGGTCTCTACTTCCTGGGTCTGGAGCCTGGATGCTTTCTTGCCGGTCCGGGACCGAGGTGAGTCAGGCAGTGGTGGGTTCCTCCACGGCTCAAGCACCTGGACGCCCATCTGAGGCGCAGGGTGTGACCAAGACAGTGTCTAGAACACAGGCCCCATCCCATTGTGAGGTCATTCTTTCCGCCCCTCTCCACACCCCTTTAAGGGACAAATCCAGAGAGAGACTTCTCTGACCTTTCCCTTGTCGCATCAAACTATTTTTCCTGGGAACCCCTCTCTACCAGTAGCTGGAAAGAGATCTAGCACCACTGAAATTGAATAATTGCAGCTCACGGAGGAAAAAGTTAATGGATAGTTGTTTTGCTTCCCGTCAACACTAATTGTTCTGCCATATTTCTGAA